CTGTGAGTGACCCACAGCTCCGAGCTCCCAAAATACCGCGGGCTGAGCCGGCTGTGCCGTTGGGGAAAGTGATCCTGGCTCCGGGAGCACGGCAGCGCTGGCTGAAAGCTGAGCTGGCTTTCAGACAGATGCACAGCCTCTCCTTTCCCTTTGAGCTTTTAGACACAGGCACTGCCCCTGTCTGTTGGTTCTCTCATTCCAAGGAAATGCCATATCGTCCTTTTTCCACTTTCCACTGTCTCTGCTTCCCCCCTCCTCAAACATCACCACTTCTCCCAACACCCCTGTTCACAGTGGGGCAGCCACAGCTCCTGGCATCAGCATTTACCCATGGACTTGCTCATAAATGTGGGATAAACCTTTATTTATTTCAGTCAAAGGGAAGCAGCTTTGGGCCTGAGCTTTAAATGGCTTCACTACCTCGTGTCAGAGGCATTTGAAAAGATGAATCCTCTGCCTTCCTCCAGACGTGCCAATTCATCGTGAGCCTGGGAGAGGTGGGTAGAGACAGGCAGCCAGTCCTCATCTTTGGAGACAGTCTGGAGGCTGAGGAGCTGGGAGGTGAAGCTGAAAGAAGTATTTGAAGAAGGAATGCTGTCTGTGACTGGGGGATGGTTGGGGCTGCCGGGGTGGGAGAGGCTGCTCAGCTGCTGCCCCGCGTCCGGCGCCGCTCGTCCCGCTGGCTCTGTGGTGCCGGTCAGAGCAGGGCTGTGCGGAGCTGCAGCACGTGGGGCCAGGCTGCCTTCAGGCAAGGTGGGAAAGATCAGGGAGAGGAGGAGGCTCGAGGCGAGTTCATAAGAAAGCTCAAAAGCTGGAGGAAAGCTCAGGCTCAGGGAGGTACTTCAGAACACACTGGGCTGTTTTCCTCCAGGGTGGTTTGCAGTGGCCTCTGGCCACCACGCCAGGCTCAAACTGGGCACTGAGACCACAGTGGGTCTCATATGGGGCAGGTTTAAGCTGGAAATGAAAAGGTTTTTCTTAATTTCCAACCAACTAACTGAAAATATTATGAAGATAGCTGATCTTGGAGATTTTGTGGTATCTGGGACCACAAGAATAATTTTATCTCCTCTGAAATACTGGTGCCCAGTAACATGGCCAACTGCAATCAAACAGTGAAAAACGTGAAAAAAACAACCGGAAATCTCAGCTCTGAGAATTTAGAAACTAAAAATCTATATACCTTTCTCCACACGAAACCAAATACATTTAAAATGGTTTATTTAAAAAGTAAGGATTAAGTACATTATACATGGTTGTGATTATACCAGTAGAACTGAAGCACAGTGGAAATAACACTTTAGAACTGCAGACAGAAATGTAGCCTCAAGGGACATGATATATTAGCCCTTGTGGATATGTGATCCATACAGAGAGAAAAAGAAACAGAAAAATAGTTTATTGTTAGATGTCTGGGCAGCTGAAGTGATTTCTCCTTTTACTCCTATTGTGTATGAGAAACAAGGAAGAGAGAGCTCATGGTATACCTGAAATTTTGTTTCTTGGAAAATCAAATCTGATCCAATAGCATTTATTATTTTTTTTTTTAGTTCTGGTGCTACAGTATGTTATATACCAAAAGACTGATTATTGTTAATGATATGGTTTTATGGTATCTGCAGGCCTTGCTGGGAAATGGGGATCATTTGTTAGATGCTGACCAGGGAAACCAGAGAGATGTGGAAGAACAGATGATTTTTTTAAACTATCAATGAATGGTTTCAAAGGCTGAGCACAATCTAACTCTGTTCACATAGATCAACCATGGAGCAAGACTGCTCATGGGCAGGAATGCTGAAAATTTTTCATTTTGTCAGAATCAAAGTTTTTCATGGGAAAGGACTGGGGCTTTGAGTTTTTTGTGGTTTTGTTGGGTTTTGTTTGTTTGTTTTCTGGAATTGTCAAATGAATTGTTTTGGTTTTGGCTTTGGTTGAACAATTTGCTGCACTGCAACTTAACACATGAGTTTTCAGTTGCAGCCCTTGTTGTCTCACAGGACAAAAACTCTGGTCCCTGTTATGTCCACATGACTTTGTTCCCTGTCCAGACCCCATGATCATCTCATCATCCCTGCTCCAGCTCCATTTCTTGAAGGTGGCTGCTGGAGAAGGAGCAGATGCTCCAGCTTGGACCAAAACAGGGCATCACTCCTGGAGAGCTGCTGGACCCAGCCCTGCCCTGGGGGAGGAGGCTCTGGCAAAGAGCAACATCCCAAAACGCTCAGCAAGAATTTCTTTTACTGCCAAAAACACTGCATGTGCCTCTGCAGGACTGAGCTGGGCTGAAGAAAAACCTTGGACTTTGTCTGGAATCAGATGGGTGGTTTGAAGCACATTCACTGGAGAACGACGACTAAAAGAACAAAACCCACGCGCGAGCAAACCTCACACTGTCCACTTCCAGTTCAAGGTACATGAGTTTAGAGAAACAGCCTATATCTAACTCCTGGTTTGAAAGGGAATGGTTTTATTCTTAATTACAGTAAACACGGATGAGGACTTAGTTCTAACTATTAGTTTTTTAACACAGTGGGAAACAAATAGTTCTGGGAAATTGCACTTGAAAAATACATTGACTATAATTAGATGTAAATTAATTAGCACTTAGTATGACACACTAATGAGACAGAAGGTTGTTTTTTTTCATTGCAAACTTCTACTTCTATCATAGCTAATCAAAGTATTTTAATATTACGAAGTCTCAAAAAGTAGGAAATAATTTATTGTTTGAAAGCATAAAGATTCTTGTAAAAAAAACCTTTCATCAAGAACTTTAATAATTTTAGAACCCTTTTATGTTGTCCTAGCCGAAAAGTAGGTAAAAAAGTTTTCTTTTCTGCCTCTGTTTGAATTTTTTTTAAAAAGCTTGTGTAACATCTTTCTCCATAGTGTGTTGATACAGAAAGTAGCACAACATTTTCTAGTTTTAAATCATTCCCATTGCTCCATTCGCTTTAGCTCTCAGAGTTCAGAGGTTTGAAAAAAGGATCCCAGCGGAGTTTTAACCTGAATGGAAACTCTTAATGAGCAGGGATGAAGGCTCCAACCCACCCCTGCCAAAATAATGATGTGGCTGTGCCAGGCTGAGGGCCAGGCAGAGCTTAACAGTGACTAGGGGAAGACTCTCGCTTAAAATTGAGAATTGTGTCTTGGTTCTTGCAAGGAGAGAGGCTTGAGTGGGTTTCTCTGGAGAGACAGGGATTCAACTTCCTTTTTGGGATGTTAAGGCAGCTTCTCCGGGATTTCCCTGGAGAACTTGGTTCCACTAGCTGAAAGCCTCGTATCCAAACCACCACTGAGTCTCTAGCCCTGGGGCCATCATAGGATAAATTAAGACTAAAGAGGTTTTAACAGTTTGGCTGAGATCTCCCACTACCAGTGACCCAAACTTTCCAAATTATGGATTTTTTCTTGTCACCACTTGTCTAGTGTTCTGCTAGCAAAGATTTTCTGGGCAAAGATGATGGGGATATTCAAAGGAATCTACAGGAATTAGATGCTCCTCTCTCACTGCATCTAATTCATCTGAGGGGAATCGGGCACCTCATTCTCATATGGCTTGGTCGAGTGGTCACTAAAATCAGCATGAGTACTATTAAATTAAATTACCTTTGAGTCAGGCCATCAAGCTTTGAGATCCAAGCCTAGTATAAAAACTGAAAGCAGGAATTTATAAGAAAAGAAAATAATATTTCAGACTCTTTTAGAAACATACAGAAGCAAAGGGTACAAATTAGTTCCCTCCTTACGTGATGCATAGAGTTTGCTGTGGGCTCTCTGCACGTAAGTAGATGCATCATTACAAAATAAATTAAATTAGGTCGAACCACCATTTCCATCTAAAAGCAACTATACCTTGCACCATGCGGCACTTAATTCATAATAAAAAGAGTTTAATAAATATCTCATAAACGGTGATTTTTTTTCCTTTTTTTTTTTTTCCCTTTTTTTTGTTTGTTCTGTTTTAAAAAATACAAAGTTGTCATCTGCTCTGTTAACACTCGGCTCCCGTTGCCGCGGGAAGTTTCGCGAGTCCGGGCGCGGTCTCTTCTGCTTGCTCAGAGATCTCGGTTTGCAGTAGCGTTAGTGTTGCACTTGTGAAGCGTAAGGAAATCGGGAGCGCGGTGGCGGGGCAGCGGCGGCTCAGCCCTGCTCCCCGCCGCGCTCGGGGCAGTCTCCAGGGGCTCCTGACAGCCAGCACTCAGCACCTTGCCGGATCAGGCACTAGGGCTCGTCGAAATGAGAATTCAAGTTTTCTAAACGTTAGGCAAGAAATGATACTTGCAAATAGGCTCAAGTCCCACCTACTTTAATCTTTTTCCTTTCTAGGTGTTTCAAGACGCACCCACCCTCTGCTCCTTGGCCTGCGTTGCCCCAAGGGATGCCTTACCCCAGGAATGGGAGACCCCCTTCCCACCCCATCAGAGAGTCTGTAATGCTCAGTACGTGGGTGCTCTACGGTTTCAGTGGCACAGGTCAGTTTTAGAAAGTGTTGCCTTCAAAAATATTTTCTTTTTTTTTTTCTTTTTTCTTTTTTTTTTCTTTTGAAAGAGGCAAAGCTTACACCATGTTGAAGGAAAGTGGCTCACTTGATGAGTAGCTCATTTTCATCCTTGGGCTTGGTTATAAATTATATTTGCAAGTTTGTATTAAGGGATCTCAATATTAGAAAAGAAAAAGTACAACAAATTTTCTGTAATCCTTTAAAACACACTGGTGGCCAGTCCTTTGCAGTTTCTCCAAGACTGTGTACACACTACAAAAGTGCAGGAACATGAACTGCCTTCATCTTGTGACACCAAGAACGGAAATAAACAAACTCCAAATAGCTTCAAAAAAAGCTACGAGCGTGTAAATATCTTTATGTTGGTCCAGAGGATCTCCACTTGCTACCTCAACGCATGCCACAATTAAAGAGGTGAGAGGGTATTTTAACATCGCTCCTGACAGATCCATTCTGTTTGGGCATCTCTTCAAAAAGCACGAGGAAGGAAGGTGCTTCAAACCGGCGTCGTTCTCCTGTTGACCATGTTGACATGGAGTCCTTCCTTAAATTCCTTCTGGAGGAAGTTGTGGACCTGCAGGAAACTGGCTTCTTGGTCTGCGTTGTAGCTGGCAGCCGTGGTAACCTTCAAAGGCTCCCTGGAAAGGGTGTACATGGAAATTTCATTCATGGGGATGGTGCCCGCTATCTTCATGCCAACTGGAGAAATGTCCCTGGATGGAGAAGGCTCTGTGGAGCGGGAGCTGGATCTGGACCTCCGCCTCCTGTACCTATAGCTTGGCATCCTGGCATAAGGAGAACTGGAAGAAGTCTTAAGGAATTCCCTCTTGGTCTTAAACCTCAGCTCTTTGTTCTTCTCAATATAAATGTTCACAGCCAGAACACCTATGGTTTCGGCCACAATAAAAGACAAAGCTCCAAAATAAAAAGACCAGCCATAGTTGTAATGGTTCTTTTTGTCCTCGTCTCGCTTGTCACTTGGGTCACCTGCATTGCTCGATATGTAGACAATGATCCCTATGATATTACTTAGACCTGGAGGAAGAAAAACATAAATCAGTGTTTGTGTGGCTGGGGAGATATAATTTAAGCCATGTTACTTTCTGGGCTGAGTGGTTCTAAGACTGGGACAAGGAAATTTTATTACATTTATTTACTCTTACATTTCTCTCAAGGATTCATTTATTCTTGAAAAACAGCCAATAGGTCAACATATGGTAATGTGTGCTCTCATGGATCCCAAAATATTCAGCAGGACTTTTCCCCATCTCTTCATTGCCACAGTGGAAAAGCAGCAGCTTGTGGGAGCTCACTAATATTGTGAGTGGGATTCTAACATCCAGAAGAATGATAAAAATACATTTGGAGCTCAGGGCTATGGCTGTTCACCTTGATCAAAATAAGTTCTCTTCCACCTTGCTGAATTTTCATCTAAATGCTGCACGCTTAATCCAGGCTGCAGGGAGAGCTATTAACAATGGGGCTCTCTCACATGTTTCTAGTGTGAAAAACGGGCTCACCTATCAGAGGTGAACGTTTTCTGCATTCATATTAAAAAAAAAAAAGGCCCTAGGTGTAAGAGATGCCTGATTCATCTAATGTTTAATATATTTTAAATAGTGTAAAACATGCTTGTTACTGAATTTCACTTCTTTCTGCAGGAAAACCAAAAGCTTTTCTAGAATATACTTATTGTGGGGCTTCAAGAGCATAATTTTGTCTTGAGAAATTTGCCTGGTGTGGTGTTGTTAATGCCCTCAGTCCAGCAAAGGGATGCAGGAAAAGCACTGCCAAGAAGCTTTTCCAGAGTCTTTTCCAGCTGAAAACAGCAGCACTTCTTAAGAACTCAATTTAAACAGAACATACCTGCTGCAACAAAGAGAATCCCAGCGCTGAGAATAATGTTGTTTTTGCTGTTGTAAATCCTTCCTGCTCCGACACAGAGTCCTCCCAGCAACAGCAAAATTGTGCTTAGGATGGGGAACACGCTGGAGGCACGGACGATGCCTGCAGGGAGACAGGCAGGAAGGGAGGACAGAGCAATCATTTTGGGTGCCTCCTCGGGTGCAAGTGTGGAGATTAGAGTCTCAAAAGCCCTGTTTTTTCCCTAAAATTGTTAAGAAGAATGACTTAATAGATCCAGAGGATTGTTAAGATTGAAAAAGACCTTTAAGATCATCAAATCCAACAGTGAAACCAGCACTTCCACCACGCTCACCACTAAACCACATCCTTGAGTGCCAGCCACATCCACACATTTTTTGAACATACTCAGGGACGCCTGTTCCAGTGCTTCATAATCCTTTCAGTGAGAAATTTTCCCCAATATCTAACTCATTATCGTTTTTTATTCATTTTTCCTAGAATTATCACTGATTCTGCATTTCTGGGCAAGTTTTTGGGATGACGAAGCCATGAGGTGGCCAGTGTGACAAAGACTCTCAACTAGAGTGGCTTCAATCTTTTGAGCTTCCTCCCAGGAAGTCCAGCATTACTGGCATTTTCTGATGCCACCGTGTGCAGAATATTTCTGGCAAAGCATGAGGTAAGTGACAGTAAGACTCAGCACCACGCAGGGAGCAGCAGTGAAAAATTCATGAGCTGGCTATGAACCCTACAACGTTTGGGACAGCTGGAGCAGACGGATCTGTTCCGTGGTGCACACACAAGGTGAGCAAATTACAGCTCTTGAAGTCAGCAGCATCCATGTTGCCAGCATGCACAGCTAATAACCCCTTTTTCTTTTTCTTTTGCTGGATATTAAGGACATTGAAACCTTTCAAATTTCTAAGGAAGGAATTTTAACAAGTGTGTCTTAGATGTTTGTGTTTAGTTTCCCGACAGCAAAGTAGTCATTTAAAATTCTGCATGCTTCAGTCCATTCATCAGCGTATAAAATCCCCCACAAAAATATTAAAACACCACTTCAAGCCAGCTTTCAAAGTCGGGTCACAACAAGACAGAGCAGCAATCGACAGGGAAGCGGCAGTGAGGGAACAAAAGGGCTGAGAAAAAATAAACAAGCATGAGAAGAGAGATGTCTGTATTGTAAAAACCAAAGGGGTAAAAGCTGCCAGGGGTTTCTGAAAGGCAGAGTGAGGAACCGAGTTTTATTGCTATAGAGAGAGGATTTATTTTTTGAAGAAGGGGAGATAAGGTGCTGAATACCGCTGTGGAAAATGGGATCACCCTGAAGCTGGGGAAAGGCGAGGGCGCAGAGGGGAGCCCCGGCAGAGCGGGGGGCGCCGGGCTGGGGGATCCCAAGGCGAGTGAGAGTCCGAGGCTGCTGTCACAGCGGCACGGAAACCCCCCAGCAGCCTGGGAGGCCGGGGTACCCCAGGGCTGGGTGAGCGGAGAGGAGCAAACGCCATGTGCGCGCTGCGGTGCCGGGAGCGCCGCGGTCTCTCCGGGCGCATCCTCCTGCCAGACGCGCACGGCGAGCGGCGCCGGTTCCCGGGACAAACGGGCAGATGTTCCAGCTGCTGCTTTCTCATTTCGCTGTCGATGGCCGTGGCGTTCCCGACTCAGCGGATCGCTTCCTAACGATTCCCCTGGGATCTGGTGGCAGAGCTCCCAGTGGCTGCGGGAGGGACGGGGCTGGGGGCTCCGCACCGGCCCCGCTCCGCCCGGGCCTGGCAGGGACGGTCCGGACACAAACCCAAAAAGACAGCGCCTGCCTGGGAAGATTCTGCCTGTATCGACCGGCAAGAGCGAGAAAAGTCCATCCTTTCCCAAACCGGCAGCGTCGCTGCACGTGTCCTTCACAGCTGGGGCATTTTCCAGCCGGATCTGAAGCCGGGCCAGGCGGGTGCATTGCTATTCAGACAGCGTCTCGCAGGAACTGCCAAAGCCAACTGATGCGAGTGGGTGTAAGGGCTCTGGTCAGAGCCTGTTGAGAGGTGAGAGCTGTTCCCTTGGCCTGCTTGTATCCCCACGTGTGTGCTATGAATTAACAGCACTTTGGCTTTGGCTCATTTTTTTCAGTCAATTGTTAGAAATTTGTTAGAAATTGTTAGATTCACAGTCAATCTCTGCTGCTGGATTTTAAGGCACCCCAAATCTCTCTGTCTGTTTTTGTGCCCTGGATAAAGGCTTAAAATCGCCTCTGGCCCACCCTTTCTGGATATTGCTTCCTGCACTTTATGGCCATGCTGTTTATAATGATTTCAGTTAAATCAAAGAGCTTTCCCAAAATGCTTCAGTGATATCATTGGAAGGAACTTGTCAGATGTACCAAAAATAAGGGGTGGGTTGTTCTATTTGTACTAATAAATTTCAGAGATAATTTTTCTATAGTAGGTAATTAATGAAGAGAAACAAAACACACAGTGTTCTCTTCCTGAAAAATTCCACAATATATATTTTTTTCCAATGTGTACTTTTAGCTCTGAAATTTCAAAGGAAGCTCATAAGGTACCACGTAGAATTTACATATGTCTCCTGATACTGGTAATAAAGTGACAGCACATCAAAAAACATTAAGGCAATCTGGTTTTTGCTTTCTCCCTGGCTTTTCTCCCTCCCTTGTTTACCGTCCTGTCGGTTTGCATCGCCTGCCGTGCGCCGCTATGTGTGGTGACACCTCCTTCGGTGGAGCCGCTCCTCCCCATGGGGCTGCAAACCCTGCTCGGCTTGGGCTTTTAATCTCCAGAAAGGCAGGAGCCGAGGGAAAGGCTTTGAAAAGAGGATGCTGTAACAGTGTAGAGATGGCCCTGAAGCGGGGTCCCCCTGCTCAGTTAAGCAGAGCCCCGAGATCCGCAGCGCGCAGCGAGCTGAGAGCCCGCTCGTGCGGAGGGAGAGGCGCCCGTGCTCCGGCGGGGCTGCACGGGAGAGCCCGGCCGGGTGTGCCCGAGGAACGCGGAGAGGAGCGGGAGACAGGGGAGCGGGAGACAGGGAAGCAGGAGAGAGGGAAGGAGGAGAGGAGGGAAGTAGGAGACAGGGAAGCAAGAGACCAGGGAAGCAGTTCAGAGGGAAGCAGGAGACAGGGAAGCAGGAGTGGGAAGCAGGAGACACGAGGGAAACAGGAGACAGGGAAGCAGGAGAGAGAGAAGTAGGAGAGGAGGGAAGCAGGAGAGAGGGAAGCAGGAGAGGAGGGAAGCAGGAGAGAGGGAAGCAGGAGACACCAGGGAAGCAGGAGACACCAGGGAAGCAGGAGAGGAGGGAAGCAGGAGACACAAGGGAAGCAGGAGACACCAGGGAAGCAGGAGACACCAGGGAAGCAGGAGAGGAGGGAAGCAGGAGACAGGGAAGGAGGAGAGAGGGAAGCAGGAGACAGGGAAGTAGGACACAGGGAAGCAGGAGACAGGGAACCGGGGCATGTTTGCCGCTGGGGATGCGATGGCAGCCCAGGGTCCGTGCTGGCACTGGGACATCTGCTGCTCGCTGGGGCCCTGCTCAGGCAGAGGGGGATTTTTTAGACACACAGATGGGCGTGTGTTGCCACGGGGAAGGTTCAGTAGGAAGGGTCTTGTCTGAGCTCCTCTGCACGTCTCAGCTTGTCCTGTGCTGTCATTCTCTTGGTTTCGCAGGGAGCAGCTTGAACACCAAAGGGCAAAATCCAGACTCCTGCCTCTACCCATTCCCTGTACCAAAGTCTCCCAAAATCAGTCATTTTTGTCACTGATTTCCGTGGGGTTTTGAACCAGGGCTCGACACTAACACTATAGTATTTGCATTTCTCTAAAGCCCAAATTAATCTGGGGGCTGTGGAAGAGGCTGAGACCCCTCACACTGCTGCTTCAGGAGCACAAAACACATGAGTGTGGGTGCCTTTGTCTAAGCCAGGCAGGAAAAATAAATATTAGTCCCAACATGTCCCTCTGAGAAACTGTGCCAAGAAATGGCCAGAAATAGTGGAGAATGGAGCCAGTAGACTGCAAAAGTGTTGCAGAGGGCAAAAACAGGACGGAAGCTCTCTCGTCCCTGTGAAACAGTACGCAAATATCCTCCTGTCTTAGGCAATGATTTGGTCCCTATTACATACAGGTATGAGCTCATCTCCTCTGGATTTAGACACGTTACCTTTCAGTAATCTCTAAATCAACTCTGTGCATGGGAAACTGCAGTTTTCTTATGAAAGTTAAAGCCAAGGAGCCTTGTCTCCGTGCAGGCTCTGTGAGGTGAGCTCTGCTCTGCGGGGGAGACACCAGAGACTGATTTTGCAGAAGACATAAAGGGTTGGACCAACTTGTTTTTAAGATCTGTACTTAGTCACTTCTGCAAACAGCTTTTAGGAACACCCGTCATAAGCACATTTACAAACAATTTACCAGTCTCATAGCTTAACGTGGAGCTGGAGACTGTTTTCCCCAGTTCTCACTTTTCTCCATATAAAGAAGGCATAATGTGCTTTTATCATGATGCTACTTAATTCCTCTTTCCTTTTACTAATGATGTTTGTTTCCTAAAGCTGACTTGGCATCAATTTAACATTAGTTCCAAGGCTTTGTATGAAAGATAAATGCAGCTGTGCTCACACTCTGCCTTTGCCTGAGCTCTGAAATCGTGTCACCCGGCTGCTATGACTGATCTAAATCGACAAGAGCAAAGAGGAAAAAAACATCTGGGTTTTCTGGTGAGGCAAACTTTTCGGAGAATTTTTCCTTCTTCATGTCTTAGCAACTAGAAGTTGTTGCCCAGAAGTGAGCAGAAGGGCAGAGTGGTTCTCTAAGTGGTGTTTGAGGTAATTAATATTGTAATTGAGGAGTTCTCTGCTTTGCCAGCAGTGTTGTTCTCTGCTCCCTGATTTCCCAACACCTTGTGAGCTGCAGTTCCTCTCCCTGGTAAAGGGCACTGCTTTCTGCTTGGCTGCTCAGCTCTGTTGTTCACAAAGAACAACAAGGCAAGGAGTCCTCTGGGGAAGGGGAATCTAACTCCAACTTTGCCGACTTCATGGTTGGGTGAAGAATCGGGTTCCAAGACTTGCCATCACCTGCGAGAATGGTCATGTGGAGGGGATGAAACAACTGCCCTGATTCCAAGCACCAGGTTGGTGGGTGGAATCCCTCCTGGGGGGAATTCCATGCCAGTGTGGAGCAGCAGTGGCTGGCTGGCCAGGCATGGAAGCCATGGCCCCTGTTCATGCTGGGATTTTGCTGTTAGCTGCAGAAATTTCAGCTTCCTTCCTACAATGCAGTAATTTCACTGCAGGGGGACGTGGCTCACCAGCTGCAAAGGTTGAGGCTTGAGTAAAGGTTAGGTTTAAGCATTTGGTAAAGTTTCCTAATGGGCTGGAATCCACTCCTCAAACTTGTTTTGTTACACTAACCCTATAAATACTCCCTCTGTAAAATATCCTTGTCAATCTGGGCAAAATGGCTGTAGTTTTCATTTAAAAATTTGCCATATGATGTTTAGACAATCAACACCAAAATTATGAGCATTCCCCTGGCTGAAGGCAAACCTTGGAAAAAAATCCTTGAAACCCTCTGGCAAGAGGGTTGGAACTTGATGGTCTTTAAGGTCCCTTCCAACACAAACCATCCCATGATTCAAAGACTCTGTGAAGTGGGGGTTCCCAGGGGTGATGGCTGTGCCAGCTGCAGCATGAACTGGACACGTGGCACCACTGGCCAATCTGGCAGTGAGTAAAACTGGGGTTGCTCTCTGCAGAAGAGAAGCCCAGGGAAGCCCCTGTGGCCACATCTGTGTGCTGGGTATCACTGCTCACTTACGGAGAAGGTACTCTGAGCTGTCGTGGTCGTAGTCATTGTCTTCAGGGAAGTGGTTGATCCGGAAACAATGTCCTTTGTAGATTCCTGGATGGAAACAGAGCAAACAGAACCCATAAGGAACAGAACCAGGTAAATGTGCTTTTTTTAACTGGTCAAGAAACCATCTCTAAAGTAATGAAATTTGGGCAGATTGGCTGAAGGAAGGGACAGCCAGGATTCCTGGGCTCTTTCCTTCAGCCACTTATATCGTCCTCTTGAGATTTTTAATCTCTAAGTGCTTCACTTTATCAGCTCTGTGCTTATCTTACAAGCATACTGAGTTTGCAAAGCTTCTTTTTGTTCCCAGAGTGGCTGTCAGGCTGGGTCCCTGCTCCATAGCTGGGGCTCCCAGTGCCAATCTCACTCCCATCACCCTTCCCATCTCACCCCTGTGAAGTGCCAGTAAATGCTGAATTGTCTGAGGCCTCTTCAATTACTCTCTAGGCTGTGAAAACAAGTCCATAAATCTCTTCCTGCTGCAGTTTAAGCCCGTATGTCCCACTCAAGGTTGGCTCAGCTTTTAATGGCATATTTGTTTAGCTAACTGGGAGCCTGTGCAGTAAAGTCAGGGCACAACATGCACTCCTGATGCACTCCTGATCCCTGGAGGGACAACACCAGAGCTGGCTGGACAAACCCCTCGCTCGACTGGACACCTCAGCACTTTGTCCATGCAGGTAAAGCTGTCCATGAGCATTCTGTGCTCTTTCCTGTCACAGTTCTCCACAGTGTGAGCTGCAGCTGGGTTGCTGTGGCACAGGGAGCTACACGGGGAGCTCTCCCCCGAGAGCTTCCTGCAGGAGTGAGCCCTGAGCTGTGATGGTGCCGTGGTGCTTTCATTATTCATTAACCAGCGCTCTCCTGCTCGGGAACACATCACCCAGGCTGAGCTATCCCTGCACAGGAGCCTCGGTGCTTACGGCTCGAGCTGGCAGAAGGATTTAAAACCCATCACTTAATACTACTTTAACAGAAGCACAGCTGCAGTCTGTAGGATATAAATGTGGATTTATTTCACTACCTATTACCAATGATTACAAAAATCTCAAAAGAATTACTAATCCAGAGGATTTAAATTGCACCCTGTGAGTGTCAACTGCAGGTTTGCTACTACAGCGCATTAAATTCTTCCAGTAAATGATGTATCAGCTCTAATTGCAGCAACGGCTCAGGCTTTCTCTGCACAGCACTTCAAAGCCTGGGAACAAGATGCAAGTGGCTCATGTCACATCTGGAAGTGTCACACCTGTCCTGGCTGCCAGGTGGGGAGAGCACTTCAGCTGGGCTTGCTGCTGCTGAGCCTGTGTGCCTGTGCATGCTGTGCTGGCCACCACAGGGGCTGCTGCTCCTCATGGCTCTGGGGCAAGGCCATGCAAAACTCAGGTTTTAAAGGTGCCAGTGCTCATTTTCATGGCAGTTCACACAATGGAACTGAATTACCCCCAGCATTACAGAGCCTCTGTGACATGAACTTTTCATTGAGTCTCTCCATTAAGGTGTGCAATTTACAGGAAATACATTCAGAGTGTGATTTTTATCCTCTCTGTTTATTAAGGAAAAATATATCTAAATATTTTTCCCATCCTAATTTCCCATGGAAATAGGCTTCTCAAGGACTGTGCTTGTGTGTCTATGGGTGGGGACACCTCTCAGTCTGTACACCTTGTGTGTCTGTAGGTATTGTATTCTGTGTCCTCCTCACACTGACAGAAGGCAGGGTTAGAGGGGATATTAGGATGAAATTCCTCCCTGTGCTCAGAGAAGCTGTGGCTGCCCCGTCCCTGGAAGTGTCCAAGGCCAGGCTGGATGGGGCAGCCTTGAACAGTGGAAAGTGTGGGTGGAACTGGGTGAGCTTTAAGATCCCTTTGAACCCAAACCATTCCATGATTCTGTGGTTCTCCAGTAAAGGCTAAGTTAATTGTCTGAATTCAACCACAGCTGATATAAAAGTAGAAGTATGGCAGGTGACTGAGCTGCAGTGCAGACAGGGAGATCCTCTGTGCCCCACCACAGGCTCCTTCTGCACATTCCCAGAGCGTGGACATGGCAACAGCCCAAACAAACACCTCACTCCAGAAACTCACTTAACAGATGAGGAGTCTGCAAGACTGAAACGTTCTCAGAGCCTCTTGTGTTGCAGCACTGATGGACTGATGGAGGGCTTTGGGCTCTGTAAAATGGCCCAACATAATTAAACTGCTGAGTGAAATGGGCCCCTCAGCAGAACTTTCACAGAGGCCATGAAGCCATTCCTTCCACAGCAGGGCTGGGATGCACCAGCAGGACAGCACTGATGAGACCTTCATTTCCTGGCTCTTGTATTCAGAGCCTTTCACATGAAAGAGTATTAGCAAGACTAGCAGAGGTAAAAAACAGGTTAATCACCTCTCTGCCCTGTCCTCCCCAAAAAGAAATCTGGATGAGCTTGAGAGTTCCTTTTTTTTTATAGGAATACTGGGATTGGTCATTATTTATCTGGCTAAATTATTATAGAAATTGCAAATGACTGTGAAATTTGGACCTGTATCAAAGCCTAGGAATTCAAAATATTCTCCCCAGTATTTTTTAATGTAGTTCAGACTAGAGATACTGGTTAAGGGTCCTCTCTAGTGTCTGTGATGTTTGATAGCTGATAACAGCAGCAGACTGAATAACTTTTTTCTATAAATTTAACAAGTGCAATGTAATTCAGCAACAGCTTATTAAACTCTCAGTGAGGCTTGAAGTTGCTATCAAGAATTCTGGTGATCTGCATAGTACTGAGGCCTCTTTCAATCCACAAAATATCTGAAATAAAGGCTTGCTAGGAAAAGTAACAATACCTCTTCATAATGACTGACTTTGAAATTCAGATTAGGCAAAAATTAAAACTAGCTGGAGAAGCTACTGAAGCAGTGGTCAGCTCTAAAAGCTGACAGCAGAGTCTGAGTTGTATTTATAGATAAAAAATAGGAGCAAGTCAAAGCTGGGCTTTGGTGGAGCCATGCATTCATCTCCATGCCCTGGCATGTAAAGCAATGCATAAAGAATAAAAGTCATGGAATGGCAGAGGTGGCAGAAAAGGAAACGCCCCAAATAAACTCAGTAGCAATCATTCTGCAAGCATCTGCACGAGGGCTGAGCTCTTTGAAGCTCCTCTCCAAGGCTTCTCAGGAGCTGCCCTGAACAAGTGTGCAGGCAAACGTGGCCCCAGGTCCACACTCACTGAGGCACACAAAACCATCTCCCACCCAGGGGGGATGGGGCAGAGAGATTTTCCTTCTTGCCTGAGTTTGGGGATAGAGTCCCTTATATCCTTGGGAGAGGAAGATGGAATATTTAACTCCTACTGCTGTACCCACTAGAGAGAGAGAGATAAATAAACTGCAATCACTGCCTAACAGATACTAAAATATTGAGAAGCACTTCTGGATACCTCTTGAGAGTGAGATATAATATCCCACTGAGATGCTGTAAGTATTACTCCTTTCTTTGAATGATTACTGATATGTTTTTAATGATGCTTTTAGAAATACAAATATTAGAATGCATTTTTCCCCGTCATAATAATAAAAACTTTGTTCTGAATTTTGAGCCAGGACTTCAGGATCTTCTTTAATGATAATGAAGAGGTAAATTTTCTGAAGTGTTGTTGATGGTGTAAGAACAATTTTTTCCCACTGGTTGCCGCATACTTAGCTGGCAATTAGGAACTAAAAAGCATTTCTGACTTGGTTCTGCTCTGTGTTCAAGGGCTTCTCTGGCAAGGTTAGTACTTCCCAATCTCACTAAGTGTTGTTCAGACAACTATAATTAGAGTGTGATGTACTCAGATAACATGATAAGGGAGGCAACTGTAGTGCCTGAGTGAAGATTAAGCTTTGTTTTGGGGTTTGAGATCTCAAAATACATAGAGGTTTCAACAGCAAATCAAAGTAGTGATCCCAAATTCTGATGACATATTGCCTTCTCCTTGCTCTTTCTCAAATAATCCTTTAATAATCCTGCCTCTACCACTGCAGATTGTTCACTGGGTTTTTATTTTTTGATGACTGAGAGTGAAGATTAATGCTTAGGATGCAAATGCTTATTAATTTGGTAGCCATGCACTACATGATCCTGTTATTGTCCATACCATCAGCCATGTCTTTGAGAACAGCCATTTCCTGTGGTTAGTGTTTATCAGTGACAACATTCCCCAATGCCCTGGAAGTGTTTGCACAAATCAGCACTGGAAAACAGAGTCCTCAAATGTCTGACAATATTTATCAATACAAGGCTGTACTTTTGTTTTCCCCCCGCCCTAATCTTGAAAACTACACAAGAAGATCTTCCCACAGCATTACTGCTCTGTTGTCATTTAAAATAGGTTTCCAGCACTCCAGACTCGAGCAGCTCTGCAGCACAGGGCCCTGTCTGCGGGGCACTTGTGTCAATAGTGATTTTTGTCTCCCGGTGCTGAGCAGGCGCTGCGGGAGGCGACGTCTGATAGCAGCGGAGACTGGGGGCCAGGGGCTGGGCTGCTCTCCCCCTCTCCAGCATCTTCTGCAGAGCCACTGCCCCCTTAACTCTTTCAGCTGCCAGCCCTCCTTGATGCAGAAAACACTGGGTTTGGGACCTGGGAGAGAAGCTTGTCTTGTTTCCTCATGGGACACCAGACATTTGCAGTGTCTTGGGTCAAACCCTCCCCTGCCAACACGCCCCATCCTGCAGCTCTCCAGCAGCTCCGGATACTTGGAGCACACACGTGCACACTATTAATAGTGCGAAGCAGGGATTCTCCCAGAGGAGTTGCACGGCTGGGATGAGGGCTGTGAATGTCTGTAGAAGTGGCCACTTGTCTTCAGCAGTCACCTGCAGGCAGGTCAATACACCCACAGCCATCCAGCCCAAAACCTCACCAACCAGCCCAGTGCTTCCTGGCAAATGTGGGACTTCTAGGATGGTTTGGAGACATGGAATGAAATCATTTTCAGGATCATTTGACAGCAAGTGTTTGTGGAAACAGGGAATACAAGTTGCAAGGAGCTGACTGTATATTAAAAATAAGGCAATTAGTAAGGTAC